ATGACCTGACCATTCCCAATCTCGAAGACTATGAGAACTTCAATCAATTTTGGTGAAAGTTTAGTCCTCCTATCTTTAAATTTTTCCACTTGTACTAAATGTTTATTCTAATGAGATGGTTGAGACAGAAACAGAGAAAACATCCAGCAATCTTGATAATACTAGAAAAATGATTTTCAGGTTTTCAATTTCTATGACATCAAAGTGACTTTTGTTATAGATAGTTGGTAGCACGTCAGAGGTTCCAATAGATAAGCTTACTCTATGCTCATGGGGACAAATATTCATTGTTGATGCTTCTGAGAGGAGGCTGCTTTGGCCTCGGGTCCCTTCAGCCTATTAAGTGCACTCCAAGAGTCGAAATCTTCATTTTTTTTCTGATGCTACTTCCTCGAGTATTTCGCCTCTTTGCTGGTTCTCTACCATATTTTTATATTGCAAATATACATCTGCAAGACACTCTCTTTCTCTCTAGTTGATTGACATATGCTTCGTCTCATATTTTTACTTAGGTGTCTAAACCATTTTCTAAACGCGCAAATTTAATTCTATGATCAAATATGACAGCTAAACAATAAAGAAAAGGAATAGATTTCAATATTTTTAAAATTTTAATTTCATTGACTTATTGGTCTCGCTAAAATTTCATTGTTTCTGTTTTTTTTTTAAATAAATCTGAAATTTTTATAATTATATGTATTATCAATGGACTAGTAGGATAATACACACTAGAAAGTTATAAAATGGATTGATAAAGATTTTAGAAAAAAATGAAATTTTTTAACTATATGCTAAACATTGTCTACCAAATAAGAGGATTTTATTATTTGCTACAAATAACTAATTAAATCTGCATAATGTAAACATAAATCAGACATTATAAGTACTATTTATCAACAATATGTCTAATGAAAAGTTCTAGAAGATATATTTATTTTATACAAGTATTTTGAAATTCAGCATTTCTTTATTATTATATATATAAGCTAAAAAAAAACCCTAATTCTATCATATTATTTCTAATTTTTTTATACCACTTTTCACATTAAATTAATATGTGACATACACAACATTGGTAAAAAAATTTTAAATTGTCATAAAAATGAAATTACTTTTAAAAAATATAGCTCTACATTAGCACTTGCATTATCTTAAGTTAAACTTATCACTTTGTGAATAATATCATAATCTTTTAAAACTTCAACAATTTTATTATAAATTTGTTGACCATTTAATCCACATCCATTAATCTAAATCCCAATAAAGATTTATTTAATTTATATTCTTATCAAACTAAGACTAGTCACAAATACATCTTGTATAACTCTACCACTCCAAATATCGGCGTTAGAGCTACACTAACATACAACTATGTATTTTATTTTAATTCTAATTTCATTTTCTCAAACAATTTTATTAAATCATTTCTAATTGTAGTTTTAGAATAACTTTAAATCTTGGAAAAATGAACTTTTATAATCTTTCAAATATTTATCTTCCACCTATTAATATGTGATCAGTTGCAGTAATATATAAAACAATTGTTCCCTATATAAATCAGAATATAATTCAAGTAGTACCCATATTAGTTATCTGAGTTTGATTAGTTTCTCTATTTTCATGTTAATTCAATGTTTACCAGCATGCCTTTTTTAAAGTATTAATACCATTACCGTCATCAGCTTTATAAATATTTCCATTTTACTTATATCTTGTTCTTCACTTGAACTCTATTTTCTGTCTCATAAAACTGTCGAAATACACCCAAACATTGATGTGTGTCTGTCGTCTATTCCGACTACAATTGGAACCCCTTCTGCTTGAGTGAGTTGGATAGGACGATGATTACGAGGACACTTCTAAAACTACCGGGAGCTGTATTAGTATGCGAGGAGGAGGATATTATGAGATGTATCGGATTCTAAGAATGGGAAAGTATGACTATTTGAATCTACTGACTTATGTTAGTAAATTTATGGGGATTGGGATAATTTTTTTCATCACGAAATTGATGGTATTAAAATATCTATTAAAAAAAATGGATATAGAAGAAATAAAGAATTAAGAATGAGAATGGAATTTGGAAATATGAATTGAAATTGCAAAAACAAAATAAAATTAAATGAGAGCAAATTGACAAAAAAGAGATTGAGAGATTTCAATAGAAAAAGTGAGAGAATTAGAGAATTTGGGATGTAAAGAAATTGGGAGTTTAGGCCCTATTCATAGAAAAAAAAATGACCAAAAAAATCCCTCCAACAACTCTAACGCTACATTTCAAGGGTAAATGGATTTTTGTACAAAAAAAAAAAATATTTTTATTTTTTAATTTTTTTGTCCAACTTGCCAGGTTGACCAACGGATTGAAAACCCTCAACCCTGGGTTGGACAGGTTTTTTTTTCAGTATTATATATTAGGTTGCCCTATGAAGGTCAAGCCCGCCCTGCAAGGTATACGTGGGCGGGTTAAACCCAGTTGATGCAAGTCAGGTTAGGGTTGAACCCGACCCATTTGTTCCACCTCTAGTTGAGCTTATCTATGGAAAAATAGCTTATTAATTTTATATATATATATATATATAATAAGCATGTATAATGTAAAAGTTATAGAAGACATATTGATTTTATTCGAGCATTTGAAATTCAGTATTATTTTATACTATTAGTAATCCAAGCTAAAAAATCTCTAATTCTATCAATTTATTTCTATTTTTTTTATACCACTTTTCACAATTAAATTAATAATGTGACATGCACAACGTTGTAAAAAAACTTCAGATTGTCATAAAAATGAAAATTACTTTGAAAAAAATCTATAGCTCTACTGTTAGCACACTGCATTATCTAAAGTTAAATTTATCCCTTTGTGAACAATATCATAATCTCTAAAACTTTAATAATTTATTATAAATTTGTGGACCATTATAATCCACACTATTAATCTAAATCTCAAATAAGATTTATTTATTTATATTCATTATCAAAATAATTACTAGTCACATAAATACAATCTTATTTAGTCTACTACCACTCCATATCGACGGTTAGAGTTACACTAACATAATAACTAGTATTTTATTTTTTAATTCTAATTTCTTTAAAACAACATCTTGTTTGCTCTATCACTCCAAATATCGGCGGTTGCGCTACTAACATAACAACTATATTTTATTTTTTAATCTAATTTCATTTTCCAAACAATTTTCTAGTTGCAGTTTTAGAATAACTTTTAAATCTTGAAAAAATGAATTTTTAATAAATCTTTCAAAATATTTATCTTCGCATATTAATAGGTTGATCAGTTGCAGCTTGCAGCAATATATAAAGTTAATTGTTCCCTATATACATCAGAATTACAATGTCAAGTAGTACTCATATTAGTTATCTAAGTTTGATTAGTTTCTCTATTTTCATGTTGATTCATATGTTTACTAGCATGCTTTTAAAGTATAATCCATTACCTACATCAGCTTTTAAAATATTTCAACTATACTTATATCTTGCTTTCTTCACTTGAACTCTATTTTCTGTCTCGTAAACTTATCGAAATGCACCAAACGTCTGATGTATTCTGTCGTCGTTTCCATTGCAGTTGATGAACCCGCTTCGTTTGAGGTGGAGTTGGATGAGGACGGATTACGAGGACGACTTCTAACCATCGGGAGTATAGCTAGGCAAGGAAGGGGAGAATATTATGGGTGTATCAGATTCTAAGATAGGAAAGCAGAACTATTTGAATCTACTATAGGGGTGTTTGTCTAGCTTATAAGCTGATCAAACTGCTTATAAGCTCTAAATTAAGCTGACCTGTTTGTTATAATTTTTTGAGCTATAAGCTAAAAAAATAAGTTGGGGGAGGTTTTTTTTTTTTTTTTTTTTCGCTTATAAGCATTTTGCTTATAAGTTAGTTTGACCAAGTATATTACCACATATCTTGTTTAATTTTAAAATTTCATAGTATGCCCTTGTTTAATGTAGTACCTTTTTTAGTAATTTTATAATAAAATGTACTTATAGCCATATTTTACCAAACACATAATTACTTATCAGTCACTTATAGTACTTTAACCAAATCGTAATTGCTTAAAATTTCAAATGCTTATAAGTTAATTTTTTATAAGCATTGTTGCTTATAAACAATTTTCATAAGCCCGGACAACACCCCCTATATTTATGTTGTAAATTTAGGGGGACTAAACAATTTTCTTCATCTCGAAATTGATGGGATTAAAATATCTATCCATTTTAGTTTTAAAAAATGGATATAAAGAAATAAAGAATTAAAAATGAAATTGGAATTTGGAATTGGAAATTAGAATATGAATTAAAAATTGCAAAAACTAATAAAAATTAAAATGAGAGTAAATTGCAACAAAAGACGAGAGATTTCAATAGAGAAATGAGAGAATTTGGGATGTAAGGAGATATGAGAGTTTACGCCCTATTTATAGAAAAAAAAAAGAGAAAAAAAGAAAATGATCAAAAAGATCATTCCAACAATATAAAACAGCTACATTTCAAGGGTAATGAGTTTTTATACAAAAAACTAATAATTTATTTTTAATTTTTTTTTTTTGTCCAACTTGTCGGTTGACCAATAGATTGAAAACCCCCAACCCGGCGGTTTGGACGGGTTTTTTTTTTTAATATCTATATATTGGGTTGGCCTATAAAGGTAAAGCCCGCCCTGCAAGGTATACACGGGCCAGGTTAGGGTTGAATCCGATCAATTTGTTTCACCTCTAATTGAGCTTATCTATGGGAGTCAGAGCTTATTAAAATCATTCATATATATATATATATATATTTTGAGTTTCTTCAATTAAATTCTTTTTAATTCAAAAATTTCTGAATACTATTTCATTAATTTGATTTTCTTTATCTTATATTAAATTATTTAAATGCACATCTAAGTTACAGACTAATAAAAACATTTAAGAATGGGATCACGGGTGCTATAAATAACAGAATTAACCGTTAATCTCATTCCCCCGCCAAAATCCACCGAGCTCTCGCTACGCAGCGCCATGATTTTTAACGACTATTTTTTCTGAATCTTGAACCAACCCAACAATGGCGTCAGCAACCCTTCTTGTTCAGAGTTGCTTATTTGACTCCAAAAGTACACCTCAAAACATGTCGCCAAAGCACCCCAAAACCCCAAAAACTGATATTATCAATTCAAGAACCTCAAAATCGACCTATCTCCGTAAAACCAAACTGAAAACTTCGAAAACATGGGAAATTGAACCAGGAGTTCTCAAACTGACACGGGCTCTTATTGGATTTGTTGAATCTGGGTCGATGGATGATGCACTCTATCTGTTTGATAAAATGGATTATCTGGATTCTTATATATGGAATGTTATGATAAGAGGGTTTACAAATAATGGATTGTTTGAAAAAGCAATGGAGTTTTATCGTAGAATGAAAATTGAAGGGTTCAGGGCTGATAATTTTACATACCCGTTTGTGATTAAAGCGTGTGGCGGGTTGTTGTCGTTGATTGAAGGAGAAAAGGTTCACGCGAAGTTGTTTAAATGTGGATTAGACTTGGATATCTATGTGTGTAATTCTCTTATTGTTATGTACATGAAGCTTGGGTTTGTGAAGTCCGCCGAAAAGGTGTTTGATGAAATGCGTATAAGAGATTTGGTCTCTTGGAATTCTATGATTAGTGGGTATCATAGTGTTGGTGATGGTTTTAGCGCTTTGAGTTGTTTTAAAGAAATGCGAAATTATGGAATGGAATATGATAGGTTTAGTGTGATTAGTGGTGTTGGTGCGAGTTCTGTTGAGTATTGTGTAAAAAGTGGCAAGGAGATTCATTGCCATGTGATCAAAAGTGGACTTGAAACAGACATTATGGTTCAGACATCACTTATTGAGATGTATGGCAAATGTGGTGTGGTCGATTATGCAGAGAGGGTGTTTAATAGGATTATTTCAAGGAATATTGTTGCTTCAAATGCTATGATTGGTGCTTATGTGCTGAACGCTCGTTTTCTCGAGTTATTCACTTGCTTGAAAAATATGCAAGAGGCTGATAAGTTGAATCCTGACGCTATTACAATGATTAACTTGCTTCCGTCTTGCTCACAATTGGGAGCTCTCTTGGAAGGTAAATCTATTCATGGCTATGCCATCAGGAAAGGGTTTCTACCTCATTTAGTTTTGGAAACTGCTTTAGTTGATACATATGGACAGCGTGGGGAGCTGAAAGCAGCAGAATGTATATTTGAGAGCATGACGGAAAAAAACTTGGTAACGTGGAATGCCATGATTGCTGGTTACGTACAGAATGGGCAGAACGAGGAAGCCTTAGAATTGTTTCAGGACCTATGGAGTGAACCTCTTAAACCAGATGCAATTACATTTGCAAGCATCCTACCTGCCTATGCTGAAATCGCCACATTGAATGAGGGTAGGCAAATCCATGCTCTTGTCACAAAATTTGGACTTATTTCAAATACATTTATTTCAAATTCAATGGTTTACATGTATGCAAAATGCGGAGATCTCGAAACTGCTAGAATACTTTTTGATGGCATATTGTGTAAGGATGTCATCTCATGGAACGTGATCATTATGGCCTATGCCATTCACGGGTTGGGGAAGACCTCCATCCAGTTGTTTCTTGAGATGCAGGAAAAGGGCATAAGACCCGATGCGAGGACTTTTGCTTCCCTATTATTATCTTGCAGCATTTCTGGCATGGTGGATGAGGGGTGGAATTACTTTGACTTAATGAAAATCGATTATGGGATTGATCCCGGAATTGAGCACTATGGTTGTATTATTGATCTTCTGGGCCGCACCAGGAATATTGACCAAGCCAAGCGTTTCATTGAAGAATTGCCACTGGTCCCAACAGCCAGGATATGGGGTTCTTTGTTGACTGCAAGCAGAGTAAACAGTGACATAGTCTCAGCTGAATTTGCCGCTAGGCATATTCTATCATTGGAACATGATAATACAGGTTGTTATGTCTTGCTTTCCAATATGTATGCAGAAGCTGGGAGGTGGGTAGATGTAGAGCGGATTAAAAGTATTATGGAGAATGAAGGACTAGAAAAGACAATTAGCTGCAGCGTGGTTGAGGAAAATGGTAAAACTCACCGGTTTATCAATCACGACAGATCCCACAACAAAATTTACATGATTTATAATGTGTTGGACATTCTATCGAGGCATATAGGAGAAGACATTTATGTTAATAGTCTATGTAAGTTTAGTCCAGCAAACTTGATGATGAAAAGAGCAAAATCACCAGCGAATCACAGTGTAAGATTGGCCATTTGTTTCGGTTTGATTTCCACAACTATCCAAGATCCTGTTCTTGTAAGAAACAACACTAGAGTATGTGAAGCTTGCCATAGTGCTGCCAAAAAGATGTCAAAAATCACTAGAAGAGAGTTGATAGTGAGGGATCCTAAGGTCTTTCACCACTTCAGAGATGGGTATTGCTCTTGTGGAGATTACTGGTGACTGCAGTTATTCCACAAACACCCAGAGAAAATAACTTGTAGAAGTTTGTACAAATTACCCAAAACTATACATATAATCTCATTAATGGAAGAAAAAATTTCAAACCTTTTTTCCTTGGATATCTCTCAAGATTATCTGGACAAGTGTTTATCCTCATCTAACCCAACAAAGTACGAGGATGGCTACAAATTAGATGATTCAAAATGCATAGATAAGGGGCAACGAACCGAATAATAAAATAAACCGAATGGTGATCAAAAAACAGATAAGATTTAAAATGAGAACTTTGATTTGAAACCGCCACCTACGCAAATATGAAACTATTATGAACTTTCCTTAATAACATGCATGACGTATCATAACCCTTAATTAACGCATACTTAAACTAATTAAAGGAGTAAAAGACTTTTTTCCACCCAAGGTTTGCCTTAATGACCTTCACATCTAAAAAGTTTCAAACTACTACTTTTCCATCCAAAATTGATTCCGGTAGCGAAAATTCTTTTCGTCACCATCATTTAAATCTTCGGTCTCCTCTTTACAAAATCTCTCTCATTCCGACATTTGATTTCTCACCGATACCCAACTACTGCAAAGTTAGGGTTTCTTGTTATTAGTTGATTATCGGAATTTTCGGTTGATTCCGACAACAAATATTCAATCGATCACCACCATTCGATCTACCGGCCTCCACTCTACAAAACTCATCTTACCTTGACTCTTGATGACTCGTCAAATGTCAACTAAGAAAGTGAAGTGTATTTTGGTTATTAATGGAATATAAACTTTGGATAAAAAATTGGTATTATCGAACTTTTTGAGTGAGAAAGTGTGATTATGGCAAAGCTTACTCTTTATTAAAGCCAACACACTTTCAATTAAGGGCACACAAATACGCCAAGAATCAATGGGGAGATAGAATAATGCAACTATTAATAAGCACAAATTATTATGGTTTATTAATACCATAATTTTTCTTATAATAAAACTGCCTTACATAAATTTTTCTTGCTGGAAATTGAAAATATAATTGAAGAACACCTATCGTGTTCACCCACCATTCTTACAAAAGTTCGAGAATTTGAGAGCATGAAACTGAAAATGAAATGCCACCACAAAATAATTGATGGTAAACTCTAGAGGATGGTAGAATGATTAATTTATTTTGTTACGTGTCATTACCCCATCTCACTATTTATTTTATGTGAAATTTACTACCCGAAAGGCCAAAATTGACGGAGTCAAATAAAATATGATACATTTTTTTTAATAATTAGTTTTATACACATTTCAACTAATTCTTANAACTTTTTGAGTGAGAAAGTGTGATTATGGCAAAGCTTACTCTTTATTAAAGCCAACACACTTTCAATTAAGGGCACACAAATACGCCAAGAATCAATGGGGAGATAGAATAATGCAACTATTAATAAGCACAAATTATTATGGTTTATTAATACCATAATTTTTCTTATAATAAAACTGCCTTACATAAATTTTTCTTGCTGGAAATTGAAAATATAATTGAAGAACACCTATCGTGTTCACCCACCATTCTTACAAAAGTTCGAGAATTTGAGAGCATGAAACTGAAAATGAAATGCCACCACAAAATAATTGATGGTAAACTCTAGAGGATGGTAGAATGACTAATTTATTTTTGTTACGTGTCATTACCCCATCTCACTATTTATTTTACGTGAAATTTACTACCCGAAAGGCCAAAATTGACGGAGTCAAATAAAATACGATACATTTTTCAAAAAAAAAAAATCTTTTATTAAATATATTTTTTTTAATGACCAATTTTATACACATTTCAATTAATTCTCAAAATTCAAAATTATTGATAGATAAGAGTTTCAGAAAATTCACTTGAACTAAACCCAAATCTTATAATTTACAACTCAGAGATATAAGAAAAAATATATCACTATAAAAATCAATGAGAGTTGGTATTCAATAATTTTCTATGTTTTAATTACACGTCACCCCACCCAAAAAAAATTAAAAAAAGAAACTCACCTGAAAAAAATAATAATGAAATTGGTATTTACAAGTTGAATGAACCGCTAATCTACCAGTCAAACTTATAGCTTCCAAAATTGTCCATCTCAGTCAACTTTCTCATCATCTTCATCTTCATCCTCAATATGTCCATTCCAGAACACCTCCTTTACACTCCTAAACACGACGTCGTTTATCCAGGAAAAGCACTCACATTGACAGCAAAACGAGTCCCTGAGTTTCCCAAACAATCCTTTGTCCCCTGCCTCCGGGGGGCTCGACATGGGCTGCAAATAGGCCAACGCCGCGTGTTTAACAAGCGGGTTCTTGATGGGGATCTCGCTCCAGCTGGAGTTTTGCGTCGGTGAAATAATCGACGGCGGCGACGCCGGTAACAAATCCTTTAAACTTGTGTAGGTTGCGGGCTGTAACTTGATCATCTCTATATCAGAAATCTGATACCCTGTAGTTACTGAATTGATGTTGAAGCCGTTGGGTAAGAGAAAGGCGGAGTTCAACGACAAATCATTTGCTAGATTTGTGTTCGTGTTGGGATCTTTAATGAGATGCGTTTGAGCCATGGAAAGAAGGTGGTTTCGGTTGATTGAACGATCAATGAGAAGAAGCAAGAGAAACAGAAAGAGAGAGAATATACATATAAATATACATCCAAGGGGAACTTGATTTATCTGTTTGTGTTTTATTTATTATATTTGCTTGGGTTTTTGTCTTTGAGAGTGAGAGGGAGTTAAGAGTTTGAGTGTAAAGATGTTTCCTACTTAAAGTGGGAATGATGCTTTTGCAGTTGGTTTTGGTGAAGTAAAGGGCCAATTATTTTCGACAAATCTGTGGACTTTCACTAGTCAACAGGTTCCTATCTGGTTTAAGGTTATACTAAACATTCAAGTTCAACTGTAAAATTCTTTTTTTTTTTTTTTAACGTGATAACTTATATTTATCTCATATAAAGTCATTCTCTCCTATTTGGGTTCATACACCCAATGGTGGTGGCTGGTGGGAGACACCTCGGCTATTCTTCTTCTTCTCCTTTTTTTTTTTTAATTTTGATTTAGTTTTGTGACCGAAACTAGTAGGAGGAAATGGATTCCAAGTAAGCAAGAGCACTATTGAGACAATCCAATTACAACATCGATCTTTTTTTTCTTTGTCTTTTTTAAGTTTATAATTTAGGGGTGAACACCAATAGTCTGGTTCTGGTTTTGAAAAATTAGAATTGGGAATTCTGGTTTCTGTTCCAATTTCTATAGTGTTGGAATCGAAAACTGAAATCGACACCGGAACCGAGGTCCAGGTACTTGGTAGGAACTGAACTGAATTATAATTTTTGTAAATTGTTGAAGGTGTATTTGTCATTTTTAAAAAGTATGGGATAATTGAATTAACCTAGGTACCTAGAACCAAAACCTATGTTTTAGGTTTCGGTTTTAAGTTTCTAAGAACCGGAATCGACAGGTTCCGTTTCAAGTTCCGATTCCAAATCTTAGAAACTGGCTGGTTCTGGTTCCTTAAAAAAATACAACGTATCTAAAACCGCTCACCCCTACTTTATATGAAAGTTACATCAAAATTTCTGCAGGCAAAGATCATAACAATAAAATATGACACAAAAACGCACGTGCCTTCGTCCATGAAAGACTTTCTCTTTATAGAGATTGGTTTAATTATAAATATAAGCATATATTTCGTGTCAAAAAAGGTTTAATCTAATCGTTGGTTCCAAACTTACCGCATTGGTTTATCAAGGTTTACTTAAACACACTAATTAATTATATAAATATAAAATTAATTTGAGTGCATAAGCTGAAATTAATTCAATCTAAAACAAGTAATATATTTTGCTCTTTTTTAAGCAAACATATATATAACTTAATACCAACGTTTTCGAAATGATCTACTGACAAGTCTACAACAAATATTATATTTATATAATAAAATCACAAAGATAAGATTAAACTATAATAATTATAAAAATCCAGCAAATTTCTTGGTAGTTTACTTAAAAATTCAGTCAAAGACTGGAAAAGGTAAAAATCAAAGTCATCGTCCTCCGTAAATAAATAATAAATCAATCTATGCAAATTTATTTGATTTATTATATATTTATTTATATAAAAATTCTTTTAAAAGAAATGGGATTAGAATTGCTGATGTTATTCTCCATTCACTCTCTTTCTTTGTCTCAGTTTTATTTTACGTCCATGCAGAGAACGCCAAGCAAACCACGTATCGGTTGCGTTCATGGGACACGATGAACTTTGAAGACGACGCGTGGATGCCGACTCATGCACTCACGTAACCCTCATTCGACACATAACACGATTACTTTCGCAACACAACTAACAAAGCTTCCCACTTCTCACTTTCACTGTCAGTTTCACCACTCACACACATTTGTTTCATTCTTTTACCTTCTCCATCTTACTTTCTTCAATCAGTTTTCGATGCTTTTCTTTGACTTACTGTTGAACGTCAGATCACCAACGTTTCAGGTAGAGTTTTTCTTTTCTGGGTTTGAGTTGTTTGCTACTTTTTTAATGAAAATATTGCATTAATCTTCTATCCATGTTGTTAGTATCCTACTGATACGCAATAAATATCCTTCAATATGATTTGATATAGGTTACTAATTATACCTATTAGAAAGTGTATCTTATAATTCGTATTCATTTGTATCCTTAAAAATATCGATACAGATCCATACAACTTTATTAATTTAGGCCAAATGTCCAAAAAAAATTCGGGTTGGATCTGGGTCATCCAATCCAGTTCACTAAAACCTGGTAAAATTTACCCATTTTGCATGGAAAAAGTGAAAAGGAAGATATGTTGCCCATTTTGCATGATAATAATAATACAAATGGAGATATAGATATTGGCATTGACATTTATCTTGGAAATCATATGAATGATTGAGAGGAAATAATATAGATTCTTAATTTTGATTATGTAATACCATAATTTAAAGTCAATAATAACACAAAATTCGTTAATTAATCATGGGATGATATTAATTTTTAGAAAAAAATTATTATTTTATTAATTTTTTTGAAAAAGGCATATCTTATACGATTTGAAAAATTAGGTTTTCGGTACTTTTGACAACCATGCTTCTATCCTTTCTAGGTGTGTGTGTATATCTGTTTGTTTCTCTCTATTTTCCTTTCTTATTAATTTATTTGAAAAGAAGAACGTATTTGTACAATTTAGTAATAAACTGTGTGATGACTGCACCACGTGCTTGCTTAACAATTTTAAATTAATGAATGCATATACATAGAACAGCTTATAACCAGCAGCAAAACAGAATTGGCATGGTGTATTGTTCAGGGAAAAGGTTGGAATACTAAGGAAGTAAATTAATGCTATACCGTAAGTCATTTTATATATGTTATTTATGAAATTTTCTCCCTTTCATCTCTGTTTTTCTGTTTTTATAATTAATACATTCAATGTAAACTCTCTCGTTGGTTAGTATTTCCATTGTGATGCTTCCATTATGATGTGGAGCCACTATATCAGTGCTTCTCATTTATTTCTCTAACATTAATTGCCTAAACCTGGAAGTGGTAGAAATGTTTAAGGTTGTGTTCGGACTTCTGATGTTGCAGGCAGACTTCTGCAGCATTGATGGAATCCAATGATGCCCAATATGTGGAACTAGGGGAAGGTTCATCTCCCAATCTAGAAAGGTTTCAAAAAGTTTCAATTGTACCACTTGTTTTCCTGATATTTTATGAGGTTTCTGGGGGACCATTTGGTGTTGAAGACAGTGTCCAGGCTGCAGGTCCCTTACTAGCCCTTCTTGGATTCTTGCTTTTTCCATTTGTATGGAGCATTCCGGAGGCCTTGATAACTGCAGAAATGGGTACTATGTTTCCTGAGAATGGTGGATATGTTGTCTGGGTTTCATCAGCTCTAGGTCCCTTTTGGGGCTTTCAACAGGGTTGGATGAAATGGTTAAGTGGGGTCATTGATAATGCATTATACCCTGTTCTCTTTTTAGATTATCTTAAATCAGCATTCCCAGTTCTAGGAGAAGGTTTTCCGAGAATAGTTGCGGTTTTGTTTTTGACCTTGGTCCTCACTTACATGAATTATAGAGGTCTAACTATTGTTGGTTGGCTTGCTATATTACTTGGGGTGTTTTCCCTTCTTCCTTTTGTGGTTATGGGGATTGTGGCTATTCCCAAACTGAAGCCTTCAAGGTGGTTTGTGGTAGATTTGAATAATGTTAATTGGGGTTGGTATTTGAACACTCTTTTCTGGAATTTAAACTATTGGGACTCGATTAGCACTCTTGCGGGAGAGGTGGAAAATCCTGCCAAAACCCTCCCAACAGCTCTCTTTTATGCTCTAATCTTGGTTGTTTTCGGGTACTTTTTCCCTCTTTTGATCAGCACTGGCGCAGTTCCACTTGACCGGGAGCTTTGGTTTGATGGATACTTCTCGGAGATTGCTCACTTGCTTGGAGGTGTTTGGTTGAGATCTTGGGTCCAAGGGGCTTCGGCTCTGTCAAACATGGGAATGTTTGTAGCCGAGATGAGCAGTGACTCTTTCCAACTTCTGGGGATGGCAGAACGCGGGATGCTTCCTGAGTTCTTCGCCAAAAGGTCTCGTTATGGAACTCCAATAATTGGGATTCTTTTCTCTGCATCTGGCGTGATATTGCTCTCATGGTTGAGTTTTCAAGAGATTGTTATTGCGGAGAATTTCTTATATTGTTTTGGAATGATTATGGAGTTCATAGCATTCGTGAAATTAAGGATGCAACACCCCGCAGCACCTCGTCCATATAAAGTACCTGTTGGAACATTTGGAGCAATTTTGATGTGCATTCCTCCGACGCTACTAATATTGGTGGTTTTAGTTCTTGCTTCTTCAAAGATCATGGTTATTAGCATCTTTACTGTCGTGATCGGGTTTGTTATTCAGCCCTGTCTCTCTTACTCTGAGAGAAAAAGATGGTTGAGATTCTCCAGGAGTTCAGACCTCCCAGATATCTACTCTGCTTCTGCCCATTACCAAAGTAATGAATCATGAACTGTGAATGGTAATGCTACCAACTTCATACAGAATGCATATATCAGCAACAGTTTTGTGAGCTACTTTTGTAATGTTGTGGATCTGCTAATATGCTATTTCTTGAAGCTAACTGGAAGGATTAGAGAACTGATCTTATATAATCTGGATATTACAACATCAGTTGCATAACAAAACAAAATCTTTTTTCTGTTGCATAATACATGTCAATCACTCGAAGCATGCATTATATAATCTATATGAAAACCTTAGCTTAGTTTCAACAATGGTTTAATTTTTTGTATAAGTTATGTTGTCTTTCTTGCTCCCTTGACTATGGAATCGCTTGTCTCCTGGTTTTTTCTTAGATTTGCATGTGATAGGGAAGGGAAACGACAGCTGTTGAGTTGAGACTAAATAATTTGTTATCATTTCTTTAATCCAGCTAAGATTAAAATGTATTTTCCTTTGTTTTCATACTTGTAACTAAACATAATGTTGTATGATTCTCCATTGCAAACGCCTCTTAGATTTCTGATTCTATGTAGAAAGTTTGTCAATTTTGCACATGAAGGATTTGTTCAAGTTCAAAATGTCCAGATTACTGATGGGTAGGCTAGGTGAGGTGAGGCAAATTTGTAATGCATTGGCAAAATTTTAGCAAGGCCTGTTGTCCTCTTGCTGATGTCTCCATATATATTGCAACCAAGTAATTTTTGTAATCTAATTACTGTAACTAGAGAAATCCATGTGGCATTCACCCAGATGAGGAGCAAGAACAAAGAAGATCCCTTATTTATCACAACCTGTCACATTACTTTGACTCCTGGGAGAGCTTTTTATACTCCATTATCGGATATTACAACAGTTACTGCCTATAAAACATCGCTGTCCTTTTGGCATTTCTCTCATGAGTCATGACCCAGCAAGGGAAAAAGATAAAGAAGATGTATTGAAACATTCTCTCTCTCCTTCGGCAGTTGGGCAATTATAACCAAACTGTCTGGTTGGAGAAGGAAAGAAGAAAGAACATGGGTGTTAGTAGGAACTCCAAAGAGACTTCTTCAAAGACGAAACCTCGGAGTACCACACTTAAGTACCTGTTTGATCTAGATTCCAACTTTGGCAATAATCCTTCAAGTCCCAACAATGGCAAGCGCTCGTCTTTCGATTCCGAAAATGAAGAAATCCTGTCAGCTATCTCTATCTGTAGTACTGTTTTCACCTTCACTGATCCTGCAGAGTCTCCCTCGCAGCAGGAGCTCAAGCGCCTCAAGCTCAGTCAATTACTTGCTAGCACAAAGTCCCCCAAGAAGACACTGGATGATAGAATTCTATCTCGTCTAATCTCCATGCTGTCGACCAATCTCTTCCGGCCTCTCCCTCCGCCTTCAAATACCTCCATCATCTCGGAGTTAGCTGATGATGAAGAGTTGTTTTACAGTCCAGGACCTTTGTGGCCACACCTGCAAATTGTTTATGACATTCTTCTCAGGCTTGTTCTTGACATGGATCCCAAGACACTTCGCGAGTACATCAATCATCAGTTCCTTATCAACCTCCTATCCCTCTTTCAGACTGAGGATCCACGAGAACGTGACAGCTTGAAGAATGTTTACCATCGGATATATGCCAAGTTCACTTTCTATCGATCATTTATGAGGAAATCGATGAACGATATTTTCCTTCACTATGTTTATGAGACAGAGAAGCTTTGTGGGATCGGCGAGCTTCTTGAGATATGGGGAAGCATTATAAATGGTTTCACAGTTCCACTAAAGGAGGAGCACAAGCTGTTCTTGATGAGGGTGCTGATTCCTTTGCACAAGGTCAAAGGAATGCAGGTTTATCACAGGCAGTTGGCTTATTGTGTCTCTCAGTTTGTACAGAAGGAGCCTACGCTCGGCGGGGTGGTCGTTCGAGGCATTTTAAAGTATTGGCCTGTCACTAATTGTCAGAAGGAAGTCATGCTTATAGGAGAACTAGAAGAAATGGTGGAGAACATTGACCCAGATCAATACAGGAAGTTAGCCCTGCCTATATGTACCCAAATCACAAGATGCTTAAACAGCTGCAACTCACAGGTTAGCTCATAATAATAAATCTTCTCTGTCAACAGTTTATTTCATTTTCTTTAAAGGGCTTTTTCTGAAAAAAAAAGGGATTCCTTGATGTAAGCATCAACTTTCTCTTATAATCAAGTTATTTTCCGAGAACTTTTTCTCAATCATAAACAGCTTTGAATTTGACAACAGCTGCTAAAACTCAATTTTCCAATTGAATACTCTCTACTAGTCTTTTTTTTTTTTTTCTTTCTATATTTTCTCAAGAACCATATGGAAAATGAATGATCAACTCTTGAAAATATTCTCTCCTACCAGATTCATCATCTTGAAACTCATGACATTGAGGCCAAAGAACATAGAATCTGTGAAACCGGCTTATTTTGCATTTCTATAAATCCTTTCATCTTTAAGCTTTGTTGGTTTTTTCAACATATTTCGAAGCTCGCAAAATCCTCAAGGTTATATCTTTCATTTGCATATTATAAGTTGACATATATTTATATATACTCCTATAATCTTTCTACCATACATTGCTTTTGATTCAGGTAGCCGAGCGCGCGCTATACATATGGAACAATGAGCAATTTGTAAAGATGGCACAATCAGCACTGGAAGAAGTGTTTCCAGTGATAGTGGAAGGCATGGAAAGGAACCTGAAGCTGCACTGGAGCAAGAGTGTGAAGCAATTGACAGAAAATGTGAAGTTGATGCTGGAAGAAATGGCTTCGAGTTTATACAGCAGATGCCTACAAGACATAAATCTTAGAGAATCTGAAGCTCAACAAGAAGAGATCAATAGGAAACAGAGATGGGAAAGAATTGAAATGGCAGCATCTCTTAATGGAATACTCCAACAAAAACAATATATATGTGTTTCTCATTGAAGAACAGAACACAATATTTTGTTGCTGGCATATAGAAGCTAATATATACTATAACAGAAGCCTTCTTTTTATTCGTATAAATTGTGCCATGTCCAACCTGGTCTTCATGTGAAATATAATGCAGATTTCTTGCTATTAAAGAAGGTCAATTATACAAAACTAATCAAGCCAAAAGAGTAGTTATATAATAACATAAGGAAACATAATTGCACTTTCTCATGGCCGGCCATGTCTAGAATTAGTAATAGGGTTAAGATATCAAATCTTAAAAGTTTGGCTTTTAAATTTATGTATTTAAAAACTGCAAATAATGCAATCTCTACTACACCGCTACACCCCAATACCAATAAGATCAATGAAAGAGGTAATTTTATAATTCTAAAGATTCAATATTAAATATTTTATTCTCTCTAATGAAACCGAACCTAAACATGCATTCGAGAGATAACTATCCATACATATATAAGAGATATGTGAATTATCTAGAAAAGAGGAGTCACGTGTATTCGAGAGATAATTATCCATACACGTATAAGAGATGTGTGAATTATCTAGAAAGGAGAGTCATGATGGTAATTTCCCTTAACAAGAAATTTAGAATACCATTAGATCTAATGATACCTCATTTATACAATCAAGGTATTTATCACTCATGAATATTCTCTCTCATTAATTACTATCATAGATGTAGTTGATAGTTACCAGTTTAAAAAAATTACATAACAGTAATATGCTTGTTAATCATCACTGGGTGGCCTGATGATGAAAATGGCAAAAAGAGATTTTATAAGTTTCTGAGTTTGAGTGCTCCTAAATATTAATAGGGGTGATCATTAGGGTTCTTACTCAGATTAACAATTTCAAAAATTTGAAGAATTAATTAAAATATACATAAGTTATCAGCCAAACCTCCACTGATAAAAATAGAAATTAAGATTTACGTTAGATTTTACTTAAATTGGCCATAATGGATGGTGATGGAATGTCCTTGGTATCTTAAAATGTAGTGGGTTATCTTTTCTCAATATATTGGGCGGGCTTCAATCCAGCCCAACAACCACCAGCAAATTCTACTGTTCTAGTGTTTCACTGTTCTTATTCTTAGGGCAAGTATTTTAATTCCCTTGAGCCTTGAGCTTCCTCCTCGTTTCGCTGGCTCCAAAATCTTTTGGTGGATACCCAGTGATTTTTTTTTTCGTTTTCTTATCCTTTTCAAAAAATTGCTGTAAATAAAACTGATTGAATTCATCTACAATGGTTTTTGTTTCCGGGTTGCAGGCAAATTGTCCAGGTTCTCACTCTTTCTCTTTCTTTTCCTTTTATTATATCAAAATTTCCATGCTTTACTTCTCCTTATCTTTGCTTATCTGTTTCAACAGCTTTGCTTCATCCTACTCGGCCGAACAAACTCCCATACCCAACTGGGAGTTGTAACAGCTACAGATTTATTCATCACAATGCCGCTCAGCAAGTAAGTGAAAAGGGAATTCTTTGCTTTGTTATTGTTTATATTTGGTTTTAATAAGTACCCGTAATTGAATTTTGAATTATACTTTTATAGATTTCTACAGGAGGAATTGGGTATTGGGTTGAAAAGGGTTTAGGCCATGAACGTGTTAATTCTGTCGGGAGAGATTATCAGCATCGATTAGGCTATGATGGTGACATTCCCGAGGAGCCCCTTTTGTTAACTTGCATCAAGGAAGCCATTTGGTATTGTAGTTTCAGCCTTCTTAGTAATTTCTTTATGCTTTTACTGAGAAGCAATCTACATTGAATCACATGGGGTCTTTCAAATTATTCGTTTTCCTCAACCAGCAGATTATCATAATGACATTGTCAATAAAGGAATACAGTTAGCATACTGAATGTAAGGATATTTTGTCTTCTGTATAGGGCTTTGAGATCTTTATTCGTACTTCTGGTTGAGCAGCCTAGTCAGCTGAAGTACATAGAGTGGCCAGGCTTTCAAAATACGGTATGTATAATTCCTTAAGTCCATGTCTGTGTTTTCTACTTTTGAATCCTAACAATAAGCCGCTTACTAACAAAGTGTCCACATCCAATTTTATTGTACTGCAAATATTTCAAATGATTGATATACATTGTGTCGATCTAGCTCAAGTTCGGATGTTTTTGAGGTGAATGAATATAGAGGTTGTAATCTTGGTTTTTCTTGTTGCTGTTGTGCAGCTAAAGACTGCCACTCTTACTCTTGTTCTCGTAGCATTGCTCATTGTTGCTCTCTCATCAACAGACTCTTTCCTCAGCTATTTGCTGGGTTTGCTTCTGAGGAGAACCCCGTAAAGGAATGTACCAGTTTTGCATACTTTTCATAACTTGATTGATAGTTTATTGAAGATGGACGATTCTGCTCCAACCTCAATTGCTCATCAGGACAATAATTTGAAAGTTTTCAGCCGAGGCATTGAAGCTTCAGCATTGTAACTTGTAAGTATAAACTTTATGGATCTGCTTAGATGATGAAGCTTGACTGGTTGGGAAACTCGTTATTGCAGTTTATTGAAGATGCAACTACAGGAAAAACTGAGATGCTTCTGTGAGGTGAGATTAAGTTGTACTGCCACGTGCGAGCTTTGTTTTAATTAACAAAGTTGAAACAAATTAATTTAAGAAATATAAAGTATTTGATCATAGTTTGAATTTTTATTTTTATTCATAATTTTTTTGGCCGATTCCTCATCTGTTTTCAATTCTCCAGGCAATTAAGTACGAGTAATATTACGCTCTCAACTCAATCTCACAACATTTTCTTATAACTCTGATGTAACAGTTAAGTTGGCAACTGTCATGTCAGTCACCATTACATCGTAAACATTGAATGACTTTGATTAAACAAGAACAATCGTTTTTAAGGGAAGAACGATCTTTCTTTTTTAAGGAATAGTTATTCCTTATAAAGTAATGGACAATCCTTTCTTATGAATGAACGGTCGTTCGTTTTGAAAGAACGATCGTTCGTCTCTAAAGAAACATCATTTATATTTAGTCACAATCGTCAATTGACATGATAGTATCAACTTTGTTGTCACGTTAGGGTTGTTAAGATTATGTTGTAAACATAGTATTTTTTATTAAGAGTACATTTGTAGTGGTCATACACATTGGTAGATTCAATCACAACATTATACTCTTCATGCTTAATTGAGTATCTTTAAAAATAGAGTAATACTATATATACAATATTTTTATATAATATTTCTCATATGATATTATATGACAAAATATGATTGATTAATTTTAAACTAAGATTAAATTTTTACCTAATCATCTTTTATCACATAATGTTGTATGAAAAATATTATACGAGAATGTTATATATATATATGATATTCATTCTGGTCTTAAGATGAAGAATTTCATTATCAAAGCTTTGCAAATGTGAAACAGTTAATTGGACTTTGGTCTCCTTTCATAGCCTGCACAATCCGGAAAGATTGAACATAACTAAAACTGGTTTTCGGATAACTTAAAAATAGTACTTGAAGTTGAATCACAGATCATAATATGAAAACTTCTTAATGTTCAAATGAATTACTTTCAATCATTTTCATGGAAAAACCAAAGTTACAGAATATTTATTGTCCCCACAACCCAAATCTGACAATCGCCAGATGCACAAAGAATTACTCGAGTCGATTCTCATTTTAAAGTTACAAACTTGGACATACAAGACATGGTGGTAAACTTCTAATAATCAAGGTCAAAACTGCTTGTACAAAATCTGTGGGAAACCAGAAAGAAACCTATAAACCAAAACAACAAAAATAAGAACTGAGACCAAAGGAGAAACAAAAAAAATAAAAATAAAGACGAATTCGAGCTTGTATAAAATGCTACTACCCATCCTTAAACCACAAAACAATAAGAATCATACTCTCCCAGAGCTTGAAAAGCTGTACCCCTGTACACCATATCCACATTCAAAACTCAGCTTGCTTTCAGTTGAAAATTTGAAGAGGATATCAGCTTCAAGCTTTAATGATTAAGGCAACAAAGATGCTGTGCCTCAAGAATCTGTGACCAAAACTGACTTTTTGCTTTAAAAAATTAAGCTCCAATATCATCTGGCAATGCACAATGACCAATAGTAGCAACACGGATACACAGCTCCAATGGACCACAACATTGAAGAAGAGTAGAAGACTGCCGGTAGGAAAACCAGAAAAGTATTATACTTGATATTTTGACAGCTTGTCTTTTACAGGGGGCTCCAAAGCTGACATGCATTGGTCCCATGCACCATTCCTCAGCATCTGTTAAATTGTTTTTATCGAAAGAGCAGTGGATCAATTTTCTGTTTTCTTCATTTCAAAAACCATTATTTACATAAAAGTCACATAAGCATGGATTTGAAGCATTACTAACCTGTTTATAACCATGCAACACCTGGCAAACATCGTTATGCAGCTCTTCGCTCCTTATTTCCTGTAGGAAAATAATAAGTTGATAAGAAAAATCAAAAACATAGAACTTCGAAAAAGGTATGCAGAGCCATTCTTACGTGCCAACTTGCAATAGCTCTGCACATGAAAACAAGTGAACTTAGAGCTCCTGAGGGATTTACTTTAACCTGAAAAAAATTGAGAAGAACCAAGCATAGGTTTAGCTATTAATCTGTCCAGCCAAAATATTCAAAAAATAAATAATATAACGGGAAAAAACTATCCATAACAATATTACAAAAAAAATACATACCATTGCACAGAGACCTCGGAATGCATCCTCCTTCTCAATGTCATCACGTATCCTGCCATAATTAAATTAAGTGCTCATAAGAAAATGTATTTGCATTGAGTCTGTGAAAGTAAATACTGAGTTTATGCTTAGAAAACAAGGAAATACTCATGTCCATGATCCTAGTATTAACTAAAGAGTACTGAATCTATGGTTGTTCATATCAAGCGAATACTCAAACTCGATAGATAAAAATACTTACATAGACAATGCAATACACCATGATTGCATGAAATGCTCCATATGAGGTGCTACAAGTTCTGGACAAACCCAAGCAAGCCTTCCAAGTGTGATTGCACTATTTTCTATTAGCGACTTATTGAGCTCCTGCTTAGTGTGAACAGGTGTTAATAATAGTTACGATGCATAAGATTCATACACAGACAAAATATATTAAGAAAACAGAAAGAGACAATCACCTCAGAATGTTTAAGAATTAAGACCAGGCTTGAAATAACTGTCATAACAACTGGAGTAACTTCTTGACGAACCTAAAATAAGATAAGTATAGATCACTGAGAAATCTAGTCCATCAAATGAAAACTTAATAAGTTAATTTCAATATGTATAAAAATGTAAAGTACAAGCAAGCACGTTGGCATGAGTATCATTGAATTTAATTTAGCAACTTCAAATCTAACAAAACCACCAGAAAGCTGTTTAATCCACCCTAAACAAACCACAGCAACGGGAGCTCACATACCTTAATAGCTAATTCTCCAATAGCCCAACACGCATTATTTGCCACTGAAATAGTTTCTCTCAGCTTAGAAGTGTTCTGCATCGAGCATCAATCATGTAACATTTAGAAAGCCAAATATAATTCTTGAAATATAGAAATGAGCTTCACTTACCAGTTGCTTGGCAGCAACATCAAGAAATTCGGATAATCGAGGGTGCAAATGAATAGGACACACCTAATAAATAACATCAACGGCATTGTTAAGAATGAAGAATCACAAAAAATTTACTAATTAAACAAAAACAGAAACTTTCAAGTGGCTAACAAAGAAGCCTTAAACCCAGTGGTACCAATTGCTTCTTCTTTAAAGGAGGTACAGTGCACAAGTCTTCGCATCTCACTATTAGCCCTAGGGTCATAAGAAACTTGGCTAGACTGAACACTATACATAACGTGGTAGGTACATTTTCAACTTACTTTTGCAAGGTCCCCAAGGAGGGCGAAAGCACTTTGTTTGACATCATGAGCATCATCCATGCAACATTGAAGAAGCAACTCCCGCAAATTACTTTGCGCAATCTGCATAGAGAAAAATATAAGAGCATATCTAAGTATATCTATGGTTTCTTAATCCTAGGTAAAAATCTGTCCTCATTTGCCAGACCAACAGATATCAAGAACAAATGATGAACTTGTTAAAACATAGGAAAAGTTTCTATACTTCTATCCAAAGCAGTGAACCAAGGCGTGTATAAAAAACAAGAAATCACAACATATGGCTAATATGATCTAAGTTATTATATGATTATTTTCAATAGTAAAAACTTCCATTCCTTGCTAAGATGAATTTTCTCATCAAAGAGCAATCTCTAGTGAAAATGTTTGTTTCATTCTTCCAGAGGAGAAAAGGGGGAGTCAATTCTCAGATAGGACCCAGAATTATATCATATATTGCAATAGTAAATGTGCATCTTATCGCTAATCCTGATCAATAAATTTTAGATAAAGGGAAATACCAAACTCTCTATCCCACCACCGAGACCCTCCACAAGTCCAGAGAGCAGATCAAGAGCGCATACGATAAATTCTTTATCATAAGCTCCAGCTGAAACAGGATCAACCTGCAATAAAAGTTCCAGCAAACGTCTATGAAAAACTGAGTGAAATGTGTCTTTGGAACAACACAACTAGTGCCATAAGGATGCTGTCTATGTCACGCAAAAGAAAGTTCATGAAGCAACATTTATAATGCAACCACACAAAGCAGATATGATACTAATTAGAAGAGATCAAATGTCAAGCTATGAAGGATATACAATGACAGTTCAGTAAATCTACAGCTTTAAGGTATTATGCAATCATATATGTTACAAGGCCAGATTCAAAAGATATAGACTGCAGCAACACACTGATTATTCACACCAAAAGTGAGTTTAGTAAATTCTGAAACAGTAGTGCACAATGAACACAACATTCCATCTTATTGTGTAGAGAAAGATACAAGGTTTTGTGAACCAGCAGTATGAGAACAATTACTGCTAGGCATCTTCTCAACAATGAGAAAAACCTGTGCTAAATGGTGCAGAAAAAATATGCGAGGAAATGAAACATAACAGAAACAACTACAAATTTATATGGAATCAACCTTTGGCAGTTGATGACATTTAAGTATAATTATTCAAGGGAAAATTGAAAAAGTATAGCAACATAGTAAATTTCTATATATCAATCAACTGAAACCTTTGCCAGTTGTTGGGTCTGGATGATATCTATGCACCTCTGAAATACAGGAAGAGCAAACTGAGTGAATCCAGTACCCAATGCCTGAAAGAAATAAACCAAAGTTAATTAATTTTTCATATCATTCAACTCCCGGCTGTTAAGCTATTTAAGTTTTGGAACTCCTCTGTGTTAAATCCACAAAACAGTCATTTTTCAACAAACCACAGAATAGGTAAAACAAAATAGAGTTAATCACAACTTCATTTAGTGTAGCATTATAACATATGAAGAAACTTACAAATAATGTGATATAAACAGGGCCATCCAAAGATTAACTCATTGTACTGAAAGGAATCAATGATAGATCAATAGATCTCACATCTGACTTCGAATTCAAGATCTTAAGCCTTCTAAAGAATACATGAAAATGCAGTACGCTAATTATGTATTGAGGCAATTCTCCTAGATGCTGCTTGTTGAATGTATTAGGCAGAGCAAGAAACTGTGAACAGATTCACTGATCACGCGGTATCTCCAAGTCCCTTGACTTCATCTATTAATTATTAATAACGGATCTGCAAACTAATAAATGTCTTAATTGATATTCTAGACATTAAACCCATCAATGAACCACCAAATAAAGATAAGGTAGATTATTGATCTTAACTATGCAACCCATAACTCCATTGTCTATTTCTCAAAAAACTCAAAATATGCTACATGTACACAGCACCAAGTTTCATTTGTCAGATTTTCAAAGCATACAAAAATATATAATTCAGATAAATTATATAAATAAATCAGATTGCTAAATCATACAAATAAATCAGGAAAAAGGGAAAAAAAAAAACAAAGTCCAAGACAGCTTAATGAGTTATTTCTTAAAAGCCAAGAGAGAGAGAGAGAAGAAAGTAAAAGCAAGAGCAGGTCACAAGTCCACACCTGTGCTATGGACGTAAAGCACTCAAGCAATGGAAAAAGATCTTTGTCTGAATTTGGAAGTTGCTGCCACTTTGCAATTAATGGTGGCATCAGAATTTCAAGATAAACGGGCTGCAGATCATCAAGGCATTTAGTTGGCACAGAATTTTATTTTTGCAACAGAAATGCAATTTAAAATAAATCTTCTGTACAACTGTAAACCATACACATCTTCAGCAAAGAGTACAAGAAAAAAAGGAAGACAGAGGCACAAGAAACATACTTAGCAAAAAAGTAATACCTGATTTAGTTCTTGTCCAACAGCATCAGCTAGAGTTCCAATTGCATCATATACAATTCTGAGGTTCCGTCTCTGGATACAATGGGCATACATACATGGAAAATTTAAAAAAAACAGTAACAATACTGAAAGCCAGTAACCATAATAATGTAAGTGAATTTTAAGAGGTAAATAAATAGCATAGCATCTCACTATAGTGGCATTGTAAGTAGCTGAGTAAATGGTAAATAACAGTACACCAGCAAATGACCTGATATTTTCCAAAAGCACACATAAGGTGCTGTAAAATAACTTCCAAACGTGGTGCCAACTCTTCTGCAGCCTCCTGCAAATTAGAGGTCTGTAAGTATTTAAAACCAGAAAAGAAACAATTAAATCACAGTTATTAAAAAAAAAAAAAAAAAAAAAAAAAAAAAAAAAAAAAAAACCTCTTCCAATGTCGCAAAAGCTGAACAAGCAGCCTCTTGCACCCGCTTGTTAGTATCCAATATTCTTCGTAAAAGGCCCATAAGAACCTTGTCAAATTGCTCGTGACCATTCTGATGGCCAGTGTCCTGAAATAAACAATGATAGAAGTTGTCATCCACAATGCAGCTCCAAAAATCACCAAGAATTTCCAATAGAGCAAGATTTATTTAGTTATTCCATGCAGAACAATTGTAGAAGACGCATAAAGATAGAGTAATAAGTCAATTAAAATCCCATATGATATACCAAATTTGACAATTTATAAGTAGCACCAATTTCTAGTCAAGGTGGTAAGGCACAAAAATTGCAATATGTGACAAAATGCTTAAAGACATGCAAATCCTACACTTGAATTGCCTTTTTAGATCACATTACAGAAATGCAAACTTTCAGAGTCTCAGAAAAATAAGAAGCTGTTGGCAGAAAGCATGCCCTCCCCTTATTCATCCATTTTCTAACTATCTGGGAGCAGGAAGACTGTTACTTGTTTTGGTGAAGCATTAATAGCTCATATAGGACCTAATCTTAAAAATGCCCCATGCCTCACTGTTACTTTTCTAGCAAGCTAGTGTAGCCAGCAAGAAGGGAAACATTGACGAAAACTAACCCCTAAAAACCTCCCATGACCATCCTAAACTTTCTTCTTACTACATGATAAAGATTGACATACAAAAACTGATTTGTTAAATCAACCTAATCCTCTCAGAGCACATTCAAGTTTCTATAAGCAAAAACATAATATTTTTATCAGAAACATGGGAAAATATCATATTACTATATTTCCATATTTATGTGAGAGTAAACATAACTGTATTTACTGTCCAATATACCCAAAATAACATCAACACTCTGATTTAAAATATCCATATCTAATTATCTTCTAAAGTATAATAATAACAAATAAATGTGCTTGGGCATGTGTTCTACCATCAACATAGACAGAACATATGTGAACTAATGGAATAGTACAAAATTTATCTCTGAAACTTCAGTTGCCATCCCAATTTTATTAAGAATTTAATTTAGATTTAGCGGGTTTTAAATATCTTAAAAACTTTGTCATGTCCTTTCTTTCACCGACATTTTGTAGACAACCAGCCTTCCTGCCACTATTTATAGTGAAACTTCAAATAAATCATTCTTTTCAATCCAAAACAACTCCTCCATTTCATCCATTTACCTATGGTTGAAAATGGTAACAATATAACCATTATTTGGTTTCCCTTAGCCATCAATAATCACCATTTCATCATTTTCTTCCTTCTGCTGATAACAATATCCACTTATTATGAATCTTGCAAATTCTAGAGCCAGATATTCCAAGATCTTACAGGAACCGCCAATTTAATTTACTCTTCATCCTAAACAGGTCACTAACAATGACAATGTATACAACTCGAGGAAATCATAAATGCTTAGGAGTAACAGTTGAAAAAATGTACCTGAACAATAAATTTGCTGAATCGAGAAAGTGTCCAACAAGAAATACTCCGTATTAGAGGAAATTTATCATCTAAAAGTGGGATAAGAAACGCCACAATCTGCACACATCAGAATTGTATTGCTTTTGATTAACTCAACATTCTGAGTCAGGGAATGAGTAACCAGATCCAGAAAATAAAAATTTTTCATTATGTGGGACAATTTGTGCACAAAGGTAATACTCACCACTCATTGAAGGGTGGAGAGAAACTAAGAAAATATGAATAATTTATAATTAGCAGTGCAACTAGTATTATAATTCAAATATGAAGATTAAATCTTGAGTAAAAAGAGAAATAAACACCCCTGGAAAGAGACATAAGATTTTACATAAAGGCTTCTTCAAGAAGAATTATGGATTAAAAAGATGAAAAAATTAAGGAATGCTGCAGAAGCAATGTCAAAAGGGGAATATGAATGTAACAAACTGGTGTTAAGCATAGCTCTAATTTTCTTTTAAAAAAAAAAAAAAATTAAGCATTGTATTTGCACCAATTATGTACAAGCCATTTGCAATCAGATTCAAAAATCAAGATCATCCAACAAAAGATTACCTCGGATAAATGAGGGTAAAGGCCATTAATGCAACCTTCTGCTACGGCACCAAGAGCCAAAACAGCCGCTTCCCTGTCTTTCCAGGCTGCATCACCACTAGTTGCCAACTTAGCCTGCAAAAATGCTTGAGAACTAAAACATGTACTTGAAAGAAGAGATACTAGCAGAAAGTTTTAGTTTCATCAAAATTAAATCTTAGCAGCCATGTGAACTAAATTGATGTTACCTGAATAATAGGCATCAAAGTTGGAAGAATCTCATCCCCAAACACGTTGGAGAGAACATCAAGCGCTGCTGCGCTGCACTTCCGCAAATTCCATACGTTAACTATGTCATCATCCTGTAAACCAAACAGGTCATTTAGAAAACTGAACGACCTCCTCTATTATATTAACTAAATCACAACTTCTGTAAATTCCATATATTCACTGCTTAACCAAGCAGTTTAAAACAGCTAACATAAATAAGATGATGCAACAACTTACATCATCTTCTAAGTTTTCTGATCCGTGAAACCGTGATGAATGAAAACGAGGTTTTAGATCCTGTGGTGTAAATAGATAAACTCAATAAAATATATCAAGCAAGAAAACATGACTTCAAAACAATATATGAACAGACATATTCAAAAACAAAAACTATAAAGTATAAACCTGGTCCCTGTCTGGGAGAGACTCATCCTCCTGCAACAATAAATTGATCCACATAAATTATGCAGTACAATATTCAAAATCATTCAAAGACAAATTCAACAGAAAAGTCAACCTCGACTTCAAGAAGTGACTCATCATCATCAGCATAAACCATATTTGAAAGCAAAACCTACAAAAGTTGTTTCAGACATGAGTAAAATCATGGAAAATTACTCTGGGAAAAAGGTAACTAGCAGAAAAGGAAATTAAACAAACATTAGCTATACCGGAAGTAGACGTGGCAAGAATTCTTTCAGGTTTTCAGGTGGTAGTTGAGCATCACAATATGCAGACCTATCAAGAAGATGGCCATCAATGGAAAAATAAAATAAAATAATATATATAAATAGAAGAACAAGGTTTGCAGAATATTTCCTTTTTTTTTTCTTTNAGTACAATATTCAAAATCATTCAAAGACAAATTCAACAGAAAAGTCAACCTCGACTTCAAGAAGTGACTCATCATCATCAGCATAAACCATATTTGAAAGCAAAACCTACAAAAGTTGTTTCAGACATGAGTAAAATCATGGAAAATTACTCTGGGAAAAAGGTAACTAGCAGAAAAGGAAATTAAACAAACATTAGCTATACCGGAAGTAGACGTGGCAAGAATTCTTTCAGGTTTTCAGGTGGTAGTTGAGCATCACAATATGCAGACCTATCAAGAAGATGGCCATCAATGGAAAAATAAAATAAAATAATATATATAAATAGAAGAACAAGGTTTGCAGAATATTTCCTTTTTTTTTTCTTTTTTTTTTATAATACCCCAAGATACCTTAACCTTTCCCTTCTTCACCAGTTCTAAAAAAAGGGTTGCAGATATTATAAAACCAAAAGTCACAACCCCCAGCACACACATCTGTCAAGTACTTAATATAAGAAAATCTCCAGTTTCTTACATGAAAGAATGCAACACTGTGGCATTACATTTAAGATGTAATAAACACAGACAATCTTCAAAAACATTAGCTTATCCAAGGGTATAACTACATAAAACCAGAAACTTGAAAAGTTGGGAATTTGAAAGTAGCAAAATTAATCAAACATCACATGCCCCTCTAATGAAATATTAACTTCTGAGTTAACCACTTTTTCTACATAAATATACAGCCATGAGTTTCAATACCAGCAAACCCGAAATTAAAAATTGCAAGTGATCCCTATTCTCCAAAGAGAATGATAATACTGATGTCACAAGAATTCAACAAGTACACCAGCTCTTGGCATATTTACACTGCATCATTATGAAATGTTTTCAGAAATAGAATTGCACACTAGAATAGCATTTTCATATGCCGACCAACATCATATGGTATATAACTAGAAATCTAGATACATACATGATTAACAAAGAATTGCCTTGATGTTTAATTTACATATGTGCCAACATAATGGGTATTAAACTACTAGTCAAGACATTCAGATTTATTTTTGCAAAGCAGAGGATTACCAGAATTCACAAGCTTCAAGAGCCACTTCATCATCAGCATCCTTGTTGACTTGTAGCATGTATTCAATTACGTTCCTTGGATGCGGCTGAAATAGTGCACGTCATCATCAATAACAGAAGGAGAAAGGCGGCATAGAAAAAGACAACAAACAAGACAAATTAATGATATAGAAAGTAAGAAATCACAATAAAGGGTCTACTCAAACCCTTCGACCAGACTGGATTACAAGAGGTGAAATAAAAGTGCATAACATTCAGCCAAAATAATACCAAAAAGAAATATATGCAATCAAAAATAAAACATGTGATACTAAAATAAAACAAGCAAGAAACTCACCTCCAAGAAAGATGGACGGACTTCAATTAGTTGAACAAATGCTGCACAAACCTATTAAGTTGAAATAGACAACAAACAGATGAGATCGCAGCCAACCTTATAAACAATTTAAATTTCAATAAGCCATCACTAGATCATAAAACGATAAGATTATAGACTATTTACAACCTCATTTCAAGAACCATAATGTTATCTGTCAAGATCAGTAAATATCCAATTCCCTTGAGATATATGTTATCATATAATCCATTCAAGAAAAAACACCATGACAAGATAGCTAAGACTTAATGGCCAGAAACAGTTTGAACCAGAAAATGGATTACCAAAGTAAAGAGGAGATTATTTTTAACATGTCTACAGAAGAATCTGTTTCAGTTCTATACGCGAAGCCACAAATAGAAAAGTCCAGTAACAGCAAAAAGAGAAAGCATTCACCAATTTTCGGACTTCTGTAGCAGGGTCATTAGCAAGAACAAACAAACCCTGAAGATACTGATCCATGGATGTAAATAAAGCCTGCAATGAATCAAGACATAATATTGGATGTTAACCCCGAGTAAAAAATAACACTATTAAGAGAACAAATACTTCAAGCATACTCACCGAAGGCATCAGCATGATGTATTGATTTACAGAACCCAAGGAAAGCTTTCTTAGCGAGGAATGTGGTGACTGGAAAAACTGTTCACACAAAAACCAGAAAAATGAAAACCCTAGGAAAAAACAAAAAGTACGATTTGGGCATTGCATAAGACCAGTACTAAATTATAATGTCACCTGCAAAAATCTAGGGAGGAAGATGTTGATGGGGCGCTCAGCCAACCCAGGTACATCTGAATCCAGCACTTGGGGTATGTCCTCACAAATCTGTATTAATTAGCAGCATAACTTGTTCAACATTATAGAACAAGGACAATAATCTAGACTTTTAAATATGCACTAACTATGAAAGAGACAATTAGAAAGATTAATATTCTTGCCACTAGATCATTAATCTTTGATTGACATATGTAATCAAGTAACAGGAATTAGAGATAAACTATGTTTTTCGAATTTAAATTGCCACTCAACCTGTTCGACAAACTAACCTAAAAGTTTTAGCTATTAGGTGGATCCAACCATAGTATAAGTAGTCTTGTCAAAATAACACACGTAATAATGTGGAATACTTTAACACTCACTGGTACAGCCGAAAAGCAACTTAACTTTTTACATATTCCATGTGAAACAGATACTATACAAAATGAGCGTAATCAAACACAACTTAAGAAATACCATATGAGTAAAGTCTAACCCAAACACCTAAGCGATTACATGGGGTGGAAAAAGGTCTCTTGTAACATAAGACCAAATACTCAGTAACAATCATATGTAACCATTAACCAGTAACAAAAGCAAGTATCATTTCTTTTTCCATCCAATAGAAAAAGTAGCATTTGTACAATCAAAATGCGCGCTTGAAAAGATAATCCAAATTATGACCAGCATCACCATATGAATTGTTGCAGTGGAGAAGGGAGTCCTAGAGGGTCAACAGACCCAGAAAGAACTGAAGTGGAATCACGGAAGAAAAGCCTCAAACGAAAAAGTTCTGACCAATAAGGAAATCTGTCACAGTATAAAAGCATCTCTCGGTAGATAAAACGACAACTAAGGAATACACTGGCATCCACATAACATAATGCAGGTTAGAAATAACAATGAGAATTATGATTTCATAAGAACATGAGCATGGTAACTAAGCCAAACTAAAGAGAGAGTTATCAAGTCATGATTTTATCAGCTGTCACACTCATTGACACAGACCCGTCTTTTATCCATTCACTATGAGGATGCCTAATTTTGTGGACCTCATGGTGAAATGGACAGCTGAGTTAATGATGAAAGGTACACTAACTTGCTAATGATGCTTTCAGTCATTTCAGAAAGATAACCACCCCTACCCCTTCTCACCTTCTGAATAACTCCCAATAACTTTTGCAGAATTCGTAACTCTTAGCATTTCATGAATTAATATGTTTCTTAAACTTAATTAACAAGGATGGACACGGTAACACAAAATACAAGAGTTCAACAAAATAAATGAACACCAAGGAAGCCATTAGACAAAGTAATGGCACCAAAAGTGTTACTCATTGCATCAATATAGAACAAAAAACCAATAGCTGAAAGATTCATTAGTTCTAAAAAGCAGGATATACCTTGGACAAAGCATCCATAGCACCTTCCATATGATTGATGTCATTACTGTCCAAGCAATTTACTAGAGCTTGCAACAGTTCAGGCCATACCGAAATCCCACCTAGTTGAACAAAAACACTAACAACAGTCCCAACAGTGGACCTGATGTGCCTATCAGCAGCTCCTAAACAAGGCAACAACTCTGACTTTATATACTGTTGGTTTGCAGGAGCCATAGATTTGTATGCTGTTCTAAGGTTATTTTTCAACAGCAAACCAGCAGCTTGTCGAACCTCCACCGATTTACCCTGTTTAAAGTTCCCACAAACATAATGGCAATTGTTAACCAGAAGCTTTAAGCTACATCACCACCTAGAAGTTATCAGAAGTATAACTAGAATGAACACATCAACTTCCTTGTACTTATAAACACTAGTGATAATGAAACAACATCGAAAAATTAATGACCCTAATAAAATTTTTTATCTAAAAAGCAAAAAGATAACCAGAAGTGTTTGCAGCCCAGGTATAAAACTTTTACGGTACCTGAATTGCACAGTATAATGAGGCCTCAATAGCCAGTGAATGCCATTAATCTCATTTATGTAAAAAATCATTTATGTAAATGCCATTAATCTCATTTATGTAAACAAAAATAAGAAGTCTCTCCCATATATCCCAAAAGCATTTTTATATACCACATTCAAGTCAATCAAACCCTCTACAACATCTCAAACCAACCCAAAATCAAACAATTCAAACCAACACCAACTTCACCACCCATAAACCCAACCCAAAAACCCATCAAAACCCACAAAAAAAATTCATCCAAACACCAACACCAACACCCCATCATCACAACACAATTCACCGAAAGAAAGAAAATACCCATCTCCGAAATTAACCAACCAATCAAAAGCCCACCACTAAAATCCATTCAAACCCTCAAAGACCCACCAAACCAATAAACTCCGCCAACCAATTAAAAACCTAAAACCACAAACTTTACCATCATCAAAATTAAAAAAGTAAAAAAAACAAAACAAAAAGGGCATTTCCTATTTACCTCGCCACGTGCGAGGATGAAGGCGAGGTAGTTATTGAAATCAGGGAACTGAGAGTAGTGTTGGAGTTGTTGCCAAATCTGGGACTTGTCAGCAGTTGAAGATGGAGAAATCTGTTGCTCTAACAAGCCACAGATCTCTTTGAAACCCTCTTCCTGGGCCTGCCACGAGGCTGGGGCGGCCATGTTTATTGTTGAAGGAGAAAAAAGGGAAGAGAATTGTTGGTGTTTAGACAAGTTTCAGAGGCTTGGGCGTGGGCAGACAAGTGAAGACTGAAGAAAAGAAGAAGAGGGTCTATTTGTGGGTTTTGTTATTTTTATAATTATAATATATAATAACAAGAGATTTTGATTTTTGAGTATCAATCATATTTGGATGGAGTACTGGGTATTACTACGGTCATGAATACGATATTAAAACTAATTACGGTCATAAATACGTTATTAGGGTCGTTTAAGCGGTTTGGTAGGAGCGCCAACACCTCGGTTATTAAAAAAAAAAAAAATATATATATATATATATTAAAATAAAAGATAATTATTTAATTACAAATATTAATATATTAAAATAAAAGATAATTATTTAATTACAAATATTAATAACAATAAATATTATTTTGGGTTTGATTTTGATAGAATACTGGATGTTATTACAGCTATGAATACGCCATTAATATCAAAAAATAAAACAAAAGGACTTGNTGAGGAATATACTCTGGATATTCTTGTAAGACACAAGAGCAACCAAATGTATTGCAAGGAAGCAATGTTTTCCACAGGAGCTTTGGAAACCATTGAAAAAACCTATCCTAAATACGGTTGCAGATAGAGGTCAAAGTATGATCACGGATGTGGTAGAAAACGTGGTTGTACTGTTAAACGAGAAAAAATTCACTCTAAGGGAAGTCCTAGTAGTGGATTACTTGGAGATAGATTTTATTCTCGGAAATAGCTTTCTGCGAGGTCAAGCAGAAGTTAGGCCATTTACTCAGGATAACGACCACATTATCCTTGGAGGACATAAAATCCCTACTCTTGCTAAGCCTGAAGTTTCGAAAGTGAGAAACGGTTTTAGACTGATGAAACTAAGGCAAGAAGTTGATCACATTGTTTTCCAAGTTTTGGAAACAAAGAATTGGTGGTTGAAATCCTCTTATGCGGAAGAAGTGGATGAGGCTTGTAATGTTTCCTTTCAAAGATTGTATCCTAGTTATCATACAAACCGGATCGCACGAGGTATGTCGCAGGAGGATGATCCCTATGGTGCATGCCTTGAGAGCACGGATAAATTCATACATAAGGAAAAAAATCTTGAAGGTTGAAAACGAGAGCCAAAAGAACTCTTTAAGGATTGAGGAACTTGTAAAATCCTTTAAAGAGGAACTTTCTCCATGCTTTGATGATCAACCATTAAAGTTATGGGAAAGGAACGGTATATATGCTTCACTTGAATTAAAAAGGAAGGATGATAAAATTGTGACCAAATCCTATCCTTATACTGTGTGTCTATATATATATAATGGAGCTATGGAATTGTTCGTTCCATGGAAAATCTTTAGAAAAGGTTTCTGTAGAGATCTTTTGACTAAAGGATGGATCGATACAATGCAAATTGACGTACAGGAAGCGATGGTGGATCCAAATATGCTTGATGCGGTTAAGCAAACGCTCTGTGTATTAAATCGGAAAATTGACCCCTTCACTTGCATGATTACTTCCTCATTGCAAGAGAGCTACGATGTTCAGCCTGTACATATATGGGAATTTCTTGTAGGAGAACCATGGTACCGAATTATGCTCGATAGTGGGATAAAGATGGGTTCTTTTGCATTAGGAGAAATTCAGAAGAAAGAAGAGGAAGATTGGACCAGGTTACACATTTCCAAAATGTTACTGGTTAAATCCAAACTGGAAGAGCTCGTTAGGGCAAATGCTACTGTCCATATTTAGAATGGAATTGCGGTAGTTATACCAGACAGGTATGCATTGATCCAGGATACTCTTTTTCAACATAATCAGGCCCAGCTGAGAACGCTAATAGAAGGGTTCGATTTAGCCCATCTACCGAAGCAAGCCTTAATGGAAGGTACTATTGATCTTCTAAAGTTGGTCCTAGCCCACGACCAGGAAGCCCAAGAAGATGCAACTCTAGAAGATTTTATTGATCTTATCGAAGTGGATAACTTCAAAGATTGATAAAAATCTGGAGAATGGAGATTTGGACAACCGGAAACGTCCAACACGTAATACGCTGANGATAAATTCATACATAAGGAAAAAATATTGAAGGTTGAAAACGAGAGCCAAAAGAACTCTTTAAGGATTGAGGAACTTGTAAAATCCTTTAAAGAGGAACTTTCTCTATGCTTTGATGATCAACCATTAAAGTTATGGGAAAGGAACGGTATATGTGCTTCACTTGAATTAAAAAGGAAGGATGATAAAATTGTGACCAAATCCTATCCTTATACTCCTGATGCAGAGGAGGAATTCAGTAAGCAAATACCAGAATTGCTAGAAAAGCAATTGATACGCGCCAGTAAAAGTCCACATTCTTCGCCAGCATTCATTGTCATGAATAGAGCTTAGCAGTTAAGAGGTAAAGTGCGGATGGTTATCGATTATAGGCAGTTAAATGAAAAAACCATTGACGATGCTTATAAGATACCAAACAAATCAGCTTGTTTGAATAAAGCTAGATTTGGAAAAATCTTCTCTAAATTTGATCTAAAGTCAGGATTCTGGCAAATCAGAATGGAGGAGTCAAACATTCCTTTGACGGCTTTCACCTGTCCGAAAGGATTGTTTGAATGGATGGTTCTACCTTTTGGACTTAAGCAGGCACCATCAATATTCCAGAGGAAAATGGATAAAGTCTTTGGAGATTTATCTAACTTTTGTGTAGTCTATATTGATGATGTTCTGGTTTTTAGTAAAACCATGGAAGAACATGTAAACCATCTTAGACTCGTGAGCAAAAGGTTCCTTGATAATGGAATGATTCTGTCTGAAAGAAAGGTAGAATGGTTTAAGAACAAGGTGATGTTCTTAGGCGTTGAGATAGCTGAAAGAGGTATTCAACTCCAAGAACATATCTCAAAGAAGTTCCTGGAATTTCCAGATGTGCTGGAAGATAAGCACATGTTACAGCAATTTCTTGGGTTAGCCAATTACATGCGTGACTATGTTCCTAATCTTGCTAATGTAATTAACGGCTTGACGCTTAAGGTTAGTGATAAAGTGCCCTGGAATTGGACACTTGAAGACACTAATTGTGTTAAGCGGACCAAAGCCTTGACAAAGCAATTAAAACCATTAAAACTCCCGGAAGATGAGGATAAACTCATTATAGAAAGTGATGCATCTCACTTGTATTGGGGAGGTGTGCTTAAGGCTAAGGGTACTAATAATATTGAACGAATTGTTCGATATGCGTCAGGAAAATTCTCTCCTGCTGAAATAAACTATCCTGTCCATGAGAAGGAAGTTTTAGCAGTGAAAGAATGTATTGACTGATTTCGATTGTTCGTAATCAGTCAGGAATTTACTTTAAGGACAGACTCTAAATATTTAAATACTTTTATGAAACTGTCTTTAAAGGATGACAAAGCTGGACTAATCAGATGGCAGATTTGGTTTGCAAATTATAGAATCAAATTTGAATATATTTCTAGTAAATCTAACTTTGTTGCTGACTTTTTGTCAAGACATTTTGCAGAAGAATTACAGGATAATGGCGGACAAGAAGGAAACTGGAAATCACTTCTCATGCTCCAAGTGTAAGCAACAGGGACATTTGAGAAGGAATTGTCCTTTGAAGGTTACTTCTACTTCAAAGGTTACTGCTAAAAAGGAGAAAACTGCGGATAAGCAGGTTGCTTCTTCTTCTAAGCAGGTTACTGCGGTAAAGCAGGTTGAAGGGAAGAATCATGACTATGATTTTGATACTTCGGATAGAAGAAACCCGAAATTTCAACGATTGTAGGGTGAAACTTCTACGAAGGAAAATACTTCTGAAAAGAGGGTTACTCTTAAGAAGGAAACAACTCAAAAAAAAAAGCTAAGGTTTGCTGGTCTTGTAAACAGGAAGGACATGAACAGGCTACTTGTCCACTGTCAAAGATCAAAAATTCTGAGGAATCATCGTCAGGCGCTACAAGCGTGGTAACGCACACTCCACAAAAAAAGCGGTTAATTGACGCAGATATTTGTGAGAGGTTTAGCTTTCCAGAAGGCGTAAGATTAACTTCAGCTAGTCAAACACTCTGGGAGAATCTGGAAACCCAAATTAGGATCGCGATGGCGACAATGAGGAGTTCAAAGGAACTGCTTTACTCTATGAAGCAGGAATTCAAAAACTTGAGGTCATGAGAAAATGTCATTTGTTTGACATGTCAAAACTCAAACTCGAGAATTTGAATGAATTAATAGTAAAATTGGGAAAAACTGACTTGACGGATGTGGTCCAAGGATTAGCGGTTTATCCTAATGGAGCTATGGAAATTTTCGTTCCATGGAAAATCTTTGGAAAAGGTTTCTGTAGAGATCTTTTGACTAAAGGATGGATCGATACAATGCAAATTGACGTACAGGAAGCGATGGTAGATCCGAATATGCCAGATGTGGTTAAACAAACGCTCTGTGTATTAAATCGGAAAATTGACACCTTCACTTACATGATTACTTCCTTATTGCAAGAGAGCTATGATGTTCAGCCTGTACAGATATGGGAATTTCTTGTAGGAGAACCATGGTACCGAATTATGCTCGATAGTGAGATAAAGATGGGTTCTTTTGCATTAGGAGAAATTCAGAAGAAAGAAGAGGAAGATTGGACCAGGTTACACATTTCCAAAATGTTACTGGTTAAATCCAAACTAGAAGAGCTCGTTAGGGCAAATGCTACTGTCCATATTCAGAATGGAATTGTGGTAGTTATACCAGACAGGTATGCATTGATCCAGGATACTCTTTTTCAATATAATCAAGCCCAGCTGAGAACGCTACTAGAAGGGTTTGATTTAGCCCATCTACCGAAGCAGGCCTTAATGGAAGGTACTATTGATCTTCTAAGGTTGGTCCTAGCCCACGACCAGGAAGCCCAAGAAGATGCAACTCTAGAAGATTTTATTGATCATATCGAAGTGGATAACTTCAAAGATTGATAAAAATCTGGAGAATGGAGATTTGGACAACCGGAAATGTCCAACACGTAATACGCTGACATGTATCCAACAAGCGAAAATAATACGTGGACCGTCAAGATTTTGCCGACAAAATTTAACGCAT